CACACACACACACACACACACACACACACACACACACACACACACACACGCACACGCACACACATACCACCCTGGACTGGCTGTTATCTTCAGTTTGGTTTTAATGAAACTAAGTTTCTCCAAACTGACTTTGTTCATTGTCTTCAATAGGTAAGATATTTTTTGTGCAAACACTCTGCAGGACCCCACATTAATAATTTTACGTTAATACTCTAGCACTGCTTTAAGAGTCATTTCATAAACCTTTATGAAAAGTTTCAGTTTGATGTTCTGATATCCTCAATTAGAAATGAAGCTTTGCTGAATAAAAAAAAGACCCAGTGCATTGTAAAACTCAGATTAACCCAGAAGGCAAAGTCTGACAACAAGAGTAGTTTCAAACAAACTGTACTAATAGAGAGCAGCATTGAATTTAGCACAGCAGCTGTGAGGTATTATTTATAGCAGCTTATGTTCTACATGCTCTCTTTATGAGCTTTATGCCCTCTTTTCTCCTGCAGCTGAGACATTGTTGTATAGCAGCAGCAACTCAACCTAACAGAGAGGCATTTGTGAGAGTTTGTGCGACTGGCTTTTCTGTTGCAGACGGTGCCCAGTGTTGTAGTCCTTCTCGCAGATGACCCTCCACTGAGAGAACACGGAGTTGGAGATGATGGAGTTCATGTTGAACGAGCTCCTCGCTCCAAGCAGGTCGTCAGTGCAGATGTCACACTCGTTGCCTCCGAAGGCAAAGTTCCAGTACGGAAGGGCAAAGGTAGCATCTCCCAGCACGTCCTGCACAGTTATCACATACAATACACTTATAAACCACTGTTCCTGCTCCTTATAACATGTTTTACCACTTTCTTTTTCCATTGTACAATAGTGTAGTTATCTGTCTGTTCTACTTTCTCTCTGCTTCACATTTCCTGAAAAGAAAAACACATCCTTTTTGTTTCCTCCCAGTAACATTCCATTTTTACTTCATCAGCCTAGATGCCCTTTGTCTCCCTTTCTGTCCCTATCTTACATCGTTCTCTTTTCCCTGTCTGTTTACATATTCACCTGCATATCTCTCTCCAGTTGCAGCAAATGAAAACGGTGCCAGGTGACAAAACCTGGTCCCTTGTGGGAAAAGTCTACACTTCCAAAGCTGGCCTGGCCCGGCCCCAGGTACGTCTCACTGACAGAGTAGTAGTGGCTCCAGACAAAGTAGTTATAAATAGGGAAGTTCTCGAACTGTGGGCTGTTGCCATCGGGTCCAAATACGTCTTGGTACCTAAAAATAATTATAAGGAAGAATGCATGTTATGTGTGTTCTTTTCATCTGCATCAATTGACCTAACTGATTTAATGTCAAAAGATGTTTGTAAAAAAGATAACAGGTAACAGAAGTAACTTTGCTTTTAGGGACGTAATTAAAAAAAACTGCAACATCTACTTTTATTTTTCTGTAACATCATTTGATTTGTCTATGTTTTCATTTAAATCACATCAGACATGGAGCTCTTCTCCTAAAGGTCCATTTTTTGATTTCTGGACAAGATTAATGATGCAGAATCCCTTAAGAGGTCATTCATAACTTACAGTACATCTAAGAAATGATTCTGTCTACATCTGCTTTGGCAGTTTTTGATAATCATGTTTAATGTAAATCATAGTTAACTAAATTTAATTACTTTTCACATTTCATGCCTCAACAAAATAAAATGCATTGTTTTCGCACAAGAATAAATACATCCAAAAATCTCAAATTTCCACATGAACATGCAGTTTTTCCAAAAAACATCTTTTAATTTGTTGTTTTTAAAAACATCCTGGTAAACTCAGCACTGTTTCTAGAAACGTCTTCATCCACACAGTGACACAGAAAACCTCTCAAAACACTGTTGTGCCATGCCAGGCCTGCATGTGGTGCTGTGACGCTGCTACAACAGAGCAAAAACAGGAAACAAGACGCAAGCAAAAATGTCAACACGTCATGAGAGGACGTCTTTGAGTCAATTGGGGGTGTTCTAGTTTTTAAAAGGTTATGTTAAAGGCAAACATAATGGATTGAAATAAAATATACAAATGCCCTGAGACAGAGTTAAAATATCCACTGCTAAAAAAATAAAGGGAACACTCAAATAACATCCTAGATCTGAATGAATAAAATATTCTCATTGAATACTTTGTTCTGCACAAAGTTGAATTTACTGACAACAGAATCACACAAAAATCATCAATGGAAATCAAGTTTATTAACCAATGGAGGCCTGTATTTGGAGTCACATGTAAAATTAAAGTGGAAAAACACATTACAGGCTGATCCAGCTTTGATGTTATGTCCTTCAAACAAGTCAAAATGAGGCTCAGTATTGTGTGTGGCCTCCACGTGCCTGTATGACCTCCCTACAATGCCTGGGCATGCTCCTGATGTGGTGGCAGATAGTCTCCTGATGGATCTCCTCCCAGACCTAGACTAAAGCATGGACAGTCTGTGGTGCAACGTGACATTGGTGGATGGAGCAAGACATGATGTCCCAGATGTGCTCAATCGGATTCAGGTCTGGGGAACGGGCGGGCCAGTCCATAGCTTCAATGCCTTCATCTTGCAGGAACTGCTGATACACTCCAGTCTCATGACGTCTAGCATTGTCCTGCATTAGGAGGAACCCAGGGCCAAACATACCAGCCTATGGTCTCACAAGGGGTCTGAGGATCTCATCTCGGTACCTAATGGCAGTCAGGCTACCTCTGGAGAGCACATGGAGGGCTGTGCGACCCTCCAAAGAAATACCACCCCACAMCATTACTGACCCACTGCCAAACCAGTCATGCTGAAGGATGTTGCAGGCAGCAGATTGCTCTCCACGGCATCTCCAGACTCTGTCACATCTGTCACATGTCAGAGTGAACCTACTTTCATCTGTGAAGAGCACAGGGCACCAGTGGAAAATTTGCCAATCCTGGTGTTCACTGGCAAATGCCAAGCATCCTGCACAGTGTTGGGCTGCGAGCGCAACCCCCATCTGTGGACATTGAGCCCTCATACCATCCTCGTGGAGTCAGTTCCTAACCGTTTGTGCAGACACATGCACATTTTGTGGCCTGCTGGAGGTCATTTTGCAGGGCTCTGGCAGTGCTCCTCCTGTTCCTCCTTGCACAAAGGCGGAGGTAGTGGTCCTGCTGCTGGGTTGTTGCCCTCCTACGGCCTCCTCCACGTCTCCTGGTGTACTGGCCAGTCTCCTGGTAGCGCCTCCAGCCTCTGGACACTACGCTGACAGACACAGCAAACCTTCTTGCCACAGCTCGCATTGATGTGCCATCCTGGATGAGCTGCACTACCTGAGCCACTTGTGTGGGTTGTGGAGTCCTTCTCATGCTACCACAAGAGTGAAAGCACCACCAACATTCAAAAGTGACCAAAACATCAGCCAGAAAGCACAAGTACTGAGAAGTGGTCTGTGGTCCTCACCTGCAGAACCACTCCTTTGTTGAGTGTGTCTTGCTAATTGATTGTCAATCAGTGATGCTTCCTGAGTGGACCGTTTGATTTCACAGAAGTTTGATATACTTGGAGTTGCATTGCGTTGTTCAAGTGTTCCCTTTATTTTTTTGAGCAGTGTACTTAACCTAGCATGAAAAATAGCAGTTTCTGTCTTCAGTGAGCTGCCTAAACCTTGGCACAAAAGGTGTTTCTACCCTTCATAACTTCATCTGTCTCTGAGCAAATTAGTCACATGGGCCTCATGCATGCCTTGGGAAATATGTGTCCCTGCACTTGTCCTTCAAATTAAGGTGGGTTGCTTGTACTTTTAAAAGAGTTCCAAGTCTTATGGTGATGTTCTTCTGTTGCTGTCTACCTTCTCGTACAGATGACCAGGTTTGGGTGGACAGTCCTTTTAGCTTGGTCCAGAACATTCACAAATGCTTGCTTCTCAGCTGGATTCATCTGCATGAGGTTCCTCCTTACTAGGTTCAGGTTAGTGGGAAGCAGAGCAGAGGGAGAGAAATGAAACTGTTATTAGAATTGAACACACATTTTCTTATCCCTGGTTAAAGAAAAAAAAAAAGCCGCCCTAATCCTTTCGGCTGATGAAGACGAATGAAATCCTAAAGGGCACAGCAGGACGGAAACGTTACAGGTTGTCTTGAATTTTAAATGCCAAACAGAATTGGTTCTCGTACCTATAGAAACTCTCTGATCACAGTTCGGTCCAGTCAGACCATGTTTGCTTCGCCCCCAGTTGTGGCCACTGAAAGGTGCAGTTAAAAAAATCTCAGAGGCCACCTCTCTCTGTCATCACACCCCGTGTATGGGTTCTGTGATCCATGGTGACGACTGTCGGCCGAAATGGTCCCACACTGACCTCTTCCTGTGATGGAGCCACACTCGTCTCCTGCTGCCCCTGAAGGGGACGGGCAGCACTGGCCACTAGACAGACCCTGGGGTGAGACGCACTCTCGGGGGAACTGGGCCAAAGTGAGACCGACAAAATAGGTCACCACAAGCAGATCCACTCTCCACGTGCTTAAACAGGGTGGGAGTTTGAAAGAATACAGGGGCAAGTTAGAGGGTATATTTAGTCAAGTATTATGGAAAATTAATATTTCACTTTCTAAATTGCTTCCACTTATTTAAGCTTTTGTGTTTGTAGTATAACATGTCATAACATTCCAAAAAATATATATGCTTTTAAAAACATATGTACTTACACAGACACGTGTGTGTTTGTGAGACTGAGTGTGTGTGTAAAAATAGATTGATATTGTACATGATATTTTATTATCCTTACACAAGAAAACATGCTTCATTTGAATGGTAAACAAATAAAAAAACTACAGGTCAAATAGAAACAATTAGGCTAAACATGTTTATTTTCATTATGGGAAATTACTTTAATAAATCTAGATTTTTGTATTATTTTATTATATTTATGTTGGTTTTCTAGTACCCAATTGACACAATGTTACAGATTTAATATTTTAGCATAGAATAAAGAAAAAAAAAATTGCAGTCCAAAAACACTTTTATTAAGCCCATGGGTTAAGCTAATGGGTTGCTTTTTTTTCTTTTTTTTTTTTTTTTGTTCAAGCCAGTTGTCTCAATATTATTTCAGAACTCAACTTCTTAGACGCCCTCGCAGGCAGTGTGAGTCATTATACATAATTCAAAAAATCATCAGCTTTCAACTTTTTCAAGTTCAGAAATGCTTTCAGTGGTAGATTTTGAATGAATGTGCTTGGCTTTTGAAGCTTGTAAATCAGTAATGAAGTGACTAATGCTTTGGCAGCAGCAGCAAATGATTTGCAATGAAACAGTAACAATAACAACACAGTGAAAACAAAATAAAATAGAATAAAATAAACAATATTTGACATATTTGTTCTTTGGCAGAATCCCAGTGTTGGAGCAATCATTCCTAAATTAAAGCATATGAGCATTTGTTTTTATTAGTGTGAAACAGAATATATGATCACCACCGTACCTCTGGCTGTGCATGCTGCTCCTCTGTTGCAGAACTGTTGGTCCTCCCCCCGAAGATTCAACCAATTTCTGTCCTAAATAGCTATCAAACACATGACCAGACCTTTGAAAAAGCTTGTGCAAAGACGTTCACACACATTCATGAGTGCATTGCCTCTCACATGCACGGCAGCAGACTGCACAACACTTGAGGGTGCTTGAGCTCTTTTTCAAACATTCATTTATATGCCCTGTGATCGCCGGCCTCTGTGATCATCTGCAGAAAAGGCTGGGAGACAACATTCATGCAGAAGCTGCTCTAAGAACATTGCTTTATGAAGAGTGGAATCGGAAAGGTAGCTTCAGATGAAATGTTGATTTTGTGCAAAGTGTAGACAAGTCCATACAGACAGGCATCAAGGACAAAACACTTGTTCAGGTTTATCATTTTAATTTGACGTTTTCTCAAACCTCCAGTGATTACACAAAATGGGAAGAGTTTTAAAGAATATAAATCAAATTAGGTTTTAAACTACATCCCAATAAAGAGGAAACAAGTCCATATTTTTCTTATTCTTAATTTTGTTGGTTTTTAATGAGAACTATTTTTTATTGTGGAGCATTACTGTTTCACATCAACTCAGTTCATTAGACTTTATAGACCATAAAGGCTGTGATAGAAGACTAGAATTGTATTGCGTTTTAGAAGAGTTTCACCATAACATATTTTAAAACATGCTTATGTTTCTCATTTACTCACACCTGCTAAAAGATTAAAGCTAGTTCCCTTTATTAATTTTACATTATTTTTATTTTACATGGACACATAAAGTTATCTACAACAGATATCAATTTGATGCATTTAGTTATGGTAGATAACATTCAAAGCTGTCTGTGTTTGGTTTAGTTTGACATTATCTAGTTGAATTGAAAAAGCAATGAAAAGTGGCATTTTGGGGTATTTAGTTACTGTAGTGACAGACTTATACAGAAGTCCTGAGATCTTGTGAGGGATCTGGTTCAGGTCCAGAAGTGGCCAGCTCCCAATCGGAGCGGGGTGAGAGCTTTGTCATGGCGACTGCATGCTTGTCCTCTTGCTGCTCTCTTTTTCTGGCAAGGGTTGAAGCCGTGGTTGTCCTAGCAGAAAGAACAGTAATGCTGTGGAATACTCTTTTTAAAATTAAAAACTACATTCCTTAAACGAATATAAAACACTCACTGTTTTACATGGCAAATTTTGAAATACAAATCTCACATGATCTGTTAGGACTTGGAGTATACTTTATAAAGAGGAAGTCTTTCAGCTCGTGCCACACCAACGTTTATGACAACAGCTGTAAAGTTTATTGGGCTATTGTCATTTCTGTTTAAAACAAGATCAATTAGTTGTGGCAGCCATCTAGAAGCAGGTTCAGTCCAAAAAATTAATCAAATGTAAATAACCATCCTGTGGTTATTTTCAGTTACATTAAAATATGTCCATCAGATCATGAGAGAATTTGCTAACAGACAGTGTTGACAACAATATTCAACTCCAGAGTTTTGGGCAAAGATCTTGAAATATGACCGCCCGTCTTTCATTGCAGCAGGCAGTAAAAATTTAAATTTAAAAAGCGTCAGTTGTTGCTGCTACTCGACAGTGAGTACACAAGGTCTGGTAAAATCCTTTTTAAGATCTTTGATACATGTCACGTTTTAGGGGGAAAAACAAAGACAGCTCCCTGTAGGTGGGCCACTTTGAGGTGACAGTACGACTCAAACACAATGCAGTTTAGTGTTTTTCTAATGGCTGTCAAACTGCTGTTGAGGAGCCAGCTGTGAGCTAATATTTTTTTTACTGGAAGGTCTGTTTATTTAATGATTTCCACAGCAGATGGAGATGCTCACAAACTGTGCTGCAATGAGACACACTGGGATGTAATGACACACTGAAATATAAATGAATCACTTCACATTATGAACTAGTAGCAGGTAATGTCCTGATCATGACCTTCAGTGCAATTTTAGATGTGTGCAGCATGTTAGCTGAAGCTCTGCTGCTGGTCAGAAAGGTGATAATCATGTTGACCTGTGAGGTTCAATCATTGTAATAAATATATATATATATATATATATATAATTTCCTCAAAGACAGTTAGTTAATGAACATGCAAAATCATTACTTTGTTAAATTATCAGCACTATCACAAGTATTTAAAGTTCAACACTTTGGAAGAGGGTTATGAACACAGTGGATTGCTTTCATGTACAAACAACTCTAATCTTAAATGAATTAATGAATGTATTTATTTATTACTTTTTTATCACCTACAATTTAGCTTTACACAGTCCTTCTGGCAGGAATTTTGTGATCTTACCTAAAATCTAAAATTAAGTAAGATCTGAACTCTGTTACATTACGTTTGGAGTTCCTCAGGGTTCTGTTCTTGGACCAAAGTTATTTCTTTTAGATGTGAATGATTTGGTTAACGTTCCAGGTTTGTTTAAATGTGTTTTATTTGCAGATGATAATACATTTTTTTGATCGGGTAAAGACAGAACAGATGTTGGAAATTATGCCAGCTGAATTTGTGAAAATACAAAATTGGTTTAAACTTAATAAATTATCATTAAATTTAGATAATACTAACTATATTATATTTGGTAATAGAAAGGGAATTATTGGTGTTCCATTTAGAGTTGATGGTGTTGAGATCTGTAGAGTCAGTGAGGTGAAAATTCTGGGTGTCATTGATGAAAAGCGGAGACCACATGGAGACCTCACATAAATTATCTAAGAACAAAAATTGCTAAATCTATTCGAGTACTGTAAAGTAAGGGAGTTATGGAGCTCTGTATATGTTGTATAATATAATGGTTGTTCCACACTTGATTTATTTTGTTGAAGTGAAAGCATGTTAAACAGTTATGAACACTATTTTTGTTTTACAGAAAAGAGCTGTAAGTATTATTGCTGGAAAACAATACAGTCACCCATCAAATATATTATTTTATCAGTTGAAATTATTGAAGTTCTTTGAGTTGGTTGATAAATAATTTTTACAGGTTATGTATAAGACTCACAAATGTACAGTATATTACCTTTAAACAACCAATTAAATTTTGTTAAGAGAGAAAGTTGTTATAATCTGAAGGGGGTAGAGATGTTTGTGAAACCTGGATTTCGAACTAGTTTGAGCTGAGGGAGCGATGTACTTCGAAACAAGAAATAAGTCTGTGGAACAATCTGGAGTGATGTCAAAAATGCCATATCTTTGTTTATGCTTAAGAGAATGATAAAAGTCATTTTGTTAAAGAAATATGAAACAACATACTGTGTATTCATGAAATGCTGTTCAACAAGGTTTTGAGGTTGTTTTGTTTAGGTTTTTCTTGTTTGTAGATTATTATTGATTAAAATTTAAATTTTGGGAATATAAAGGCGCAGGTACTATAATATTTTTTCTTCTTTCTGCCGCCTTTCATTTTATTTGTGATTTGTATTTTATTGTATATAAATTTATTTTGTTATTTTTAAAGAAATTAATAAAGTTTGAAAAAAATCCAGTTCTAAATACAACAGCATAATAAATGTTATGCCAACAATCTTCACAATGTAAATTTTGCACAAAATAAATCACACATTTTGCAATTTTGCTTGTGTATTTATCACTACAAGTGTGTTCTGATGCTTGGATGTTAGCACTTAGACTTGAATAAAAATAAATAAATAAATGCAGTTTGACTTGCAGTAGTAGTTGGTGTTCTATTTTTCACTTGTAGAATTATTTCAGGGAAATATATTAAACTATAATGAACATTTTGCTCCAGATAATATTCATTATTTCCATTATGCCACAGTTCTCACTGAAGCAGTGTGTTACAGATTGCTCTGTAACATGGCTTCTTGCATCAGTGTGTGTACAAACAGCAGCCCTTTGTAATACAGAGGTAATTGTGATGTCAAAAATAAGACTTGCTCCCTGATCTTTATTTTTTTCTGGTTTTGTTTTGTTTGTTTTGTTGACAGGCTGTTTACTGATTTAGCCCTTCTGTGGCAGCTGGATTGTAACTACTCCTTTTATTCTTTCTTTTCTAAGATAAATCATACATTTTTTTACAGCAAGCATAATTTGGCCTTTTTAGTTTCTCGTTGTGTTTTTCTCACATTTACTTCCACAGGAAACAATCTACAGTAAGTAGACTAGCTCTTGCTTTTTCCAATACATACTTCAAGCCCTAGCTGATCAAAACATTGCTGTTTACTATTCAGTCAACCATATGACTGTTAGCAAAATATCTCATGAATCACTTCACAGACTAGTCGAATTTGATGACTATCACACCCAATCAACCTCTGGCAACACAAAAATTGTCTATAACCAAGTCAATTTTACAGATATTAAACTTGTTTTGTGCAGCAGTAGCTGATTTGTCTTGTGAAATTTTACAATATTGCCCAAGCTTGTGCATAAAGTCATTTACACCATTTGACTAAAGCATCTAAAACTTTGTTGTTTGAAAGGAATTAGGCGATATGCAAATGCTAGGCCTTAAATCTTAGCATTTGTAATGCAGGTATATATGTTTTTATTTGTGAACATAAGATTACTTTTGACTTTTGCAATTTTTTACACATTAATACTGACTATAAGTTTCACATGGCTACTCCGTATGCATACGCACACTCTTGACTTCTTACCGATTCAAGTCTGCTAGGATTAGGAAAAGCATGGTATTACCCAGCAATGCTCTGGGGTCACAATCTCACTCTTTCATGTGAGGCAGTGAACAGAATCCTGAGCACATAGGCTACGAAACAGCCCGGAGGTAATCAGCTGAGAAACAGGAAGCTTCTAGGTGCCATAGGTTTGCAGGTCAGTGCGTAATATTTAATCAGCTGACAACTGTGTGGTGACAGTTTTTTATCATTTTGATGTTCCAGGAAAACAGGTTTTATTTTAAAATAAATAAATCTGTCTTTATAGTGTTTTTAAACTTCACATGCCTGTGGCTGAATTGAATTGACTTTAAAGGGGACATATAATGCTTTTAAATTCTTCTTTTTCACATTTAAATCATCCAATTGGGTTTTATGGAGCTGCAATGCTTTGATCCAAATTCCTCCTTATTGTAACTCCACAAGCCCCTCTTCTCTGAGGTGTGTCTCAGATCAGCTTGTTTTGTTAGTGTCTTTTTAAAAACAAACCTTCACATCCAAACCTTCTCCAGTTACCAGAGCAGTGCATTCCAGTTTAATAGAGGGGTTTATGTCTATGTAGCAACACAGAAATGTTTTATTTACAAATTATTAAAATATGTCAACAAGAAGACTTGTCTATCCAGCCTACGTTAGGAATCAGAGTCTAACCCAGAGCCAGAGGAGAATGAAGATGAGCAAATTGTAACTGGTAGGTTCAAACCTTGTTTGGCAGTTCCATCACAAATACTATGATTTATTTTTTCAGAAAATACCATAGAAAATATAGAAAACTGAATGGGTTGATAAATATGACCCAAAAGGAATATGAAGACATCTTTTGCAGCATCAGGAGAAACTAAATTCAAATTTCCTGCACTCCAAGTACACAACAAAATTCATGTAACGGCTGAAAAAGGGGATTTTGTCCTAAAGGGTCAACAAGTCATAAATGTACACCAAGTCATTACTTTCTGAAAGTCTCATTAAAATCCATCCAGTGGTTCATGAGATATTTTATTAACACAACAGGAAAACAAACACAGGCTGTATGTATACAGTACTTGCTGTCTCTAAGTGTGAACGTACTGCTGAGTGCTTCCGTTGCCTGCTGGCAGTGTATCGTCACTGCAGTTCCCTCCTGTTGCTGCCTTTGCTTCAACACGTCCATCCTCACAAAGTCGCTGCACGGCCGGGGTGCTGCTCACACACAAGCATATGAACAATGTCTCTTTATCACTCCTAACACTGTGAGTGCCTAATGTCACCCTCCAACAAATTAACTGCATGGTTCAAAACAACATTTTGGACAAATAATAAGTCATAAAGTGTCTTATGAAGCACAGAAATTCTCCTTTCACGAACACAGGGGGAAATTCTGACCCAACACAAAGCACATTCTCCTCATGTTATCATCTGTCAGTATTGAAACCATAACTGCAGCTTGGGCAACATCAGAAGCAATCGTGTACCAGCACTGCTGTGAGTCCCATCTGTGATTGTAGGCCTGTCGGTGCTACAGTTAGCAATCAGATGGCTTGTTTCAGCTGTAGGGGAGGGGGAAAAAAGTGCCTGGATGTGGGCGATGCATGTGGGAGAAATACTTCTATTTTCATGCATGAAAAATAAACATAAAAGAGTCCGCTGTACAACCGCGAGTCAATATGTAAAGTCTCAGTGCAAAGCATTTTAATTAGGACGGTTGGGGAAAATATGTTGGGTGTGAACTGTTGGACATGTAGTGTGGGGTACTCCTTCCAAAATGATGATAATAGATGGCAGGCTACAATAAATCATTTGGCTTGAAGCTGAACTACCATAAGCAGAGCAGATTTGGACTCTACTAGAACTCTGGCTGCTTTAAGAAAACTTTTTGGAACAAGTTTTCCTTTTAAACTTCCTGTAAAAACAGAGGAGCTCACAGCAGTAGCCTAATATTGTACAGTTAATCCCACCCATCCTGATATATATATATATATATATATATATATAATTTCCTCAAAGACAGTTAGTTAATGAACATGCAAAATCATTACTTTGTTAAATTATCAGCACTATCACA